TTTTTAAGTACATGTATTTTTTATCGTTTTTAGTATGACAGATGTCTCCCATTTCTCCCCCCACCCCCACCCCCCACTAGTATATATTCTTTGGTGGATCCCTTGCATTCCCTCCCCACCCTCTTCACCTTGGAGATGCCTCAGTCTATCCCAGTTAGCCAGGCCTCTGGTCTCATCGTGTCCCTCCCCAGATGTCACTTGGTTTGCGACAACATCTTTATTCCCCCAAATTATTGGCTGGGATGCTAGTAATCGCCTGGGCCGAGGAGAAAACTACATTACCCAGAAGGCTGTGCGCCAATATAGGCGGAGCTAAAGGACATTTTGCGGTTTGCGCACTCGGTTAGGGCGGGACTTCCGCCTTCCTCCTCGCGGTGGCCATTTTAAACTTTTACGTCTTTGTTCACAGACGACCAGGCTTCAGGGCGCTGTTCGTGAGGAGGAGGAGGCCTGGGAGGCAGCGCGCCTGCCGTGCGGGGTGTGTCTGAGGCTCCTTGAGCCCAACAGACCGAGATTGGCGTCCCCGTGCCTCCCGGACTCCTCTCTGCTCACAGCGTCCCGGCAGCCTGACCCCCTTTCACCCTCCAGCCTTGGGGACCGGCCTCTCAGGTTCCGCCGCCTAGGAACCAGCGCTCAGAATGGTGAGTCCCTCGTGGGTGACACATGGCTGATGGGGGAAGAGGGTGAAAGGCTGCAGGGCCGCCTTGTAAGGACGTGATGGTGCGACTGAGCAGGGAGGACTCGGGAACCCGGGCCTGTTGTGGGTGTAAAGGCAACAGAGAGACGAGGTGTGGTTTTACACGAAGAGTTTTACTTTCACTCTCAGAACGCTGGGGCCATAGATGGTTGTGAAAGAAAGAGGGACATTTTCTGAGGCAGGATTCTAACTTTTCCTAACATTGCTCAGAGGAAGGACAGACTAGAACACAGGAGAGCAGCTGTGGACAGGAAGGAGTTTTACTTTCATTCTCAGAACGCTGGGGCCATAGATATTAGGGTCGCGGAAGGAGGAACACACGGGCCAAAAAGGGAGAAGAATTACGGATTTATTAGGCCACCTGGAAGGCTCGAAAAACGGTTCTGTTGGGGGATTTGGGAGGCAGAAGCTGCTCCCGAGGCTGCCACAGCGTCACTTGTCTGCTTTTGCTGCTTTTCTGGGCCTGGAGCTGAAATGCAACTGAGGCCTAGATGTGAACTTTAGAGAGGGAAAGGTCGGGGGTCTTAGTTGCCTGACGAGTTATTTGCTAGGGGAGTGTAGGTACCCTGAGGGCGAGGTTCTTGTTTCCCAGTTTTGCCCCTTGCTAGCATCCAGAGCTTTCTTGTAGGTCCTGAGACAGGATTTCCAAATGGGAAAGAGCAGTGGTTAGGCCCCTTGTGCCAGTTCCTACCTCTGCTGTGATGCCCAGGGTTATGAGGAGAGGGATTATCTGAACTGCGCTTTTGAGTTGGATATGGTGGGTTACGGGGACGGGTAAAGACTGATTATTGGGGGCTACATCTACATTAGGTGAGCAATAGATGAGGGTAAGATGGGGTCTGGTGGGCCCAATCTGGTGGCTGTAATTGTTAGGGGACTGAGCTCACGTGATGAAATGTTCTGGGGATGGGTTTTAATCTGGAAAGGTGGAACTATGGGGTTTGCTCTGATAGTTTAGCTGCAGTGGTGTGGTTAGGAGTACCTGCTAAGTGTCTTGGTACTGGGGCTGTAAATTATTCGATGGGTGAGTTTCCCTTAGGAGGACACAGTCCTCTGGCTGTAGAGGCTTCTCGGGATGTCTCCCATAGAATTTGGAGAGAGGGCTTAATTAGCATATTGTCTCAGTAATTGAGGGAATAGATTTAAAATAGGGACATAGACTCCTAGAGGGTTTCTGTGGAAGGCAAGTTTCCTAATAAGAAGAGTCTTCCATACATGAATTCAAAGGGACTAAGAAAGGAGGGTGTATGGTGGGGGGATTGCTCTGTTGTGCATAAAGGCTAGCAGTAGGAGATCAGTTTAAGGTTCTTTAGTTTTGAGAGTTAATTTAGTTAGGTGGCACTTAACGAAGGAATTTCTCTTTTCTACCTTTCCTGAAGATTGGGGCTGGTGGGGGGTGTAAATTCCACAGGATATTCAGAGTGGAGGAGACCTGTTGAATTATTTGATATATGAAAGCAGGTCCATTATCTGCTTGTAATGAGGTGGGGAGGTTGGATCTGGGAATGATGTGCTGAATGGGAGCTTGTGTGACCTCAATGGACTTTTCAGACTCAATGGGGAATGCTTCCACCCAGCCTCAGAAGGTATCTACAAGGGTTTGTTCTTTACTTTTTTAAAAAATAGGAAGCATGTGAGTGAAGTCAATTTGCCAGTCTTGTTCAGGGATTTGGCCCCTTGCCTGATGAGTGGGGAAAGAAGGGGGTCTGATCTAACCTGCCTTTGGGAAGATACTGAGTAACAAGTAGAACAGGTTTTGGTGACATCTTGCAGTAGGAAGGCTAGGCTAGGACAGGTGATGAGGGGTTGTAGGAGTTGTAAATGTATCCTATAGGTAGAAAATTTTAAATAGCCTTTAAGATATCATGGGCCTATCCCTGGGGCAGGATATATTTTCCCCGACAATTGTAACCGAATTTTAACCGTGGATCTTCCTGCATAGCCCCAAGAGCTACCTAGGGACTGAAGTTCCTCTGGGGTGTATTTGGGTGTTATGTGGGGTGTAGCTAAGAGTTGGGGAGACAGAGGCTTCCTCAGAGTCACTGTCTTGGCCTCCTGTCTGCTCTGTTATTTCCCTGTATTATGGAATCTTTCCCTACTTTGTGTCCTTACAGTGTGTGTGTGTGTGTTTTAATAGGAGGCCTGTGAGTGAAGTCAATTTGCCAGTCTTGTTCAGGGATTTGACGTTTAAGAAGGCTAGAAAAGGGGAGAGATGTTCCCAAATACCAAGCAGGAACACATGTGAGGCTTTCAATGCTAGTGTCAGGAACTGTGAATGAGCACTGGAAATGAAGTGTAGGCTTCAACTTAAGGATGTAAGCAACAGGAGAGAATCTGGGTGGGGCTGCTTTAGCTTACTAGGAGAGAAGGGGTTCCTCTGGGACATCAGGGGTGATCAGGTCTTGACTCACTGGTCAACACAATCCTTCTACCCATTCACAAGTAACCAGCTTTAGCCAAAAAGTAAACAAACAGCATTTACATTTATGAACACACTTTAAACACACTCTTACTTTAATATGCCTTCCTCAAAGTACAAGAGACCATGCGTAATAAAAACGAAGAGCAGGCAAATTAAAAACATGTCTAGCAATCAATGTTTCAGTATTTTATTCTGTTTTAAAGTATTTAGATGTTTATCATTTAACCCAGCAATGCTCCAAAGCCTTTAAGCTACCAAAGACTCTGGAAAAGTATGTGTAGGCACATGATGCTGGAGAAAAGGCAAGGGGACGAGAGAGCAGGCCCTGCAGCCTGTCCCCAGGCATCCAGGTGCTTGGATTTAAAACTGCCACATTTTTCCTTAGTGATACATGCTCAGGTTTGGGTGGTAATGAGTTCAGCTTCTGATAGTAGCCAGACTTTAAAATAAGCATTTCTAGTTTTGCAGCAAAGAAAGTTGTTCTTTGGAAAGGGGGTGAGGGGATGTCAGAAGGCGCCGAGGTGAGAGCAGTTTTCAGAGCATTAAAGGATCTAAAGGCTCAGTGAGGCAGGGGTCCTATCATAGAGTAGCTTTGTGAGAAGACTGAAGCTGGGAACTCAGAGGCAAGAGTCCCCAGCGAGCCTGAGAAAGGAGAGTATTTCTTGTTCAGAAGAAAGGACAGTCATGGAGGAGATAAGGCATTTACCGTCTAAGGAATGGCACAGATGTGTGGGGTGAGAGTGACACTGAGGTAGATGACTGTTGTTTGGGACAATCAGGTTTTATGAGGGGATGCACTGTAGTCCTGGTTGGGCACTGAGGTAGAAAGAGGAAAGAGTTGATGGGGGTATTTAATAAGATAGAGTGTAGA